TTCACTTACCACCAGTGACTAGACCTACCTTATCAATTCAGTTATATATTTTTTTCTTTTTTAAAGATTTTACTTATTTATTTGACAGACAGAGATCACAAGTAGGCAGAGAGACAGGCAGAGAGAAGGTGGGGGGAGCAGGTTCCCCGCTGAGCAGAGAGCCCGATGTGGGGCTCAATTCCAGGACCCTGGGATCATGACCTGAGCCGAAGGCAGAGGCTTTAACCCACTGAGCCACCCAGGTGCCCCCAGTTATATTTTCTTAATTTTGATTGCTTATTTACTTTAGATTCAGTCAGCTTTGAGGGGGCTTTCTTCATTAAAATAATGTTTCTTTAGAACCCTCCGACAAAGGAATGGCCCAATTTTTTACCAAATATTCACATAAGGAGCAACAACGTTTTAAATGTTATTTTTGCATTAGCATGTGAAACCAACCCCCAGTAATCAGTGGCCTGAGTGTCCTTTCCACCCTAGTAAAACTGCCTACAGTGTCATTGATCACTCTGTCTGGAATAAAAGAGGGCAATTATTTTTTATTTTTTTAAAGATGTTATTTATTTCTTTGATAGAAAGAGAGAGAGCACAAGTGGGGGGGGTAGAGGGAGAAGCAGACTCCCCGCTGAGCAGGGAGCCCCACGTGGGGCTCAGTCCCAGGACCCCGAGATCCTGAGCTGAGCCAAAGGCACACACTTAACCCACTGAGCCACGCAGACGCCCCTACTTAAATTGTTTTGATCACACTTTGGTTTCATGTAATCACCCATACTGCACCAAGAGGCGGGAAGCCCTCCCTGTTCCCAACACAGAAAGGAAGCGACTACCTTGTGCACTGCTGTGTTCACGTAGTCTTGTGAGTTTGCCTTCACAAACACGGGAACAACTCCACTGACACCCTGGGAAGACAGCAAGCAGACGCGAATCAGACTAACACTGCAAGAAAGGAGAAGGGGGACACCTGGGTGGCTCAGTTGGTTGAGCAACTAGCTGCCTTCAGCTCAGGTCATGATTCCAGCGTCCTGGGATCAAGTCCCGCATCAGGCTCCTTGCTTGGCAGGGAGCCTGCTTCTCCCTCTGCCTCTGCCTCCCACTCTGTCTGCCTGTGCTCGCTCTAGCTCCTCTCTCTCTGACAAATAAATAAATAAAATCTTTTAAAAAAAAAAAAAAAAAAAGGAGAAGGTGATGGGCGCCTGAGTGGCTCAGCTGGTTAAGCCTCTGCCTTCAGCTCAGGTCATGATCCCAGGGTCCTGGGATCGAGCCCCACATCCAGCTCCCTGCTCAGCTGGGAGCCTGCTTCTCCCTCTGCCTCTTTCTCTCTCTGTCTCTCATGAAAAAATAAAATCTTAAGAAAGAAAAAAAAAGAAAGGAAGGAAAGAAGATGGTGACCTGAAGCCCATTTTGTGCTCTTCTTTTTCTCCTTCTCTATTTCCTTACTCATTTCCTTCTCTTGCTTCAGATACACATTTCTATTTTATGCTAACAGCTCTGATTCCAAATATTCTGCAACTTTGTCTCTGTCAATAAACCCCAAATTGTCAGGGTAGATATCTACAAAAGTGTCAGTTTAAGGAGAAATCTCCTAGAGCTGTAAAAATAACATAGTAAGGGGCACCTGGGTGGCTCAGAGGGTTAAGCCTCTGCCTTTGGCTCAGGTCATGATCTCAGGGTCCTGGGATCGAGACCCGCATTGGGCTCTCTGCTCAGCAGGGATCCTGCTTCCTCCTCTCTCTCTGCCTGCCTCTCTGCCTACTTGTGATCTCTGTCTGTCAAATAAATAAATAAAATCTTTAAAAAAAAATAATAACATAGTAACATCCATGTCCTACATGCTCAGCTAAGTGCTGTTAATACGTTAGCAGATACATTCTTAGAACAGGTTCTACCTCTAGCTTCACTGTAGAGAAAAGGAAACTGAGATACTGGAACAGATTAGTTGCCTAAACTCATATGCTGGTAATTGACCAGCACTGAACTTCACACCCAGGTCTGACTCCCAGCTCCTGGGTGGTCCTGTGAGGAGATACACTGCTCGGAGAAGGCTGGCTGCCTCTGGCCCGCGCTGAGTTACAGTGATGGCCAGAGAGAGGATTTCTATTTATTGTGCATTTGCTAGAAAGTCCTTTGGAGAAAGGAAGCTCTGATCCTAATGATATTAGCTCCCAGTAAATATTTGCTCAATTCTTTTTTTTTTTTCATTGCAAAGCGTACACGGTGATGAATTCATTCATTTACCCACCAGGGAATCAACTCATTGCCAAGAATTTATGAAACTATGAGTACAGTCCAAGTGTGGTCCTATAGAAAATATGAAAAGGGGAAAATAGGAGATGAGTCAAAGAAAATTCCTGTTTTGGGGAAATGTATAGCCTTAAGCAGAGAGAGTAACTGACATGATGTAGTGAACCGACACCGTCGTAGTCTTCTCTTGCGGGAAACGTGCTACCTCGTGTAGGTATCAAAAGGATGTCAAGCTCATTGTGGACCTGAGTGGTGACAGATGCCTCTATCGACCATCTCTAGCCCCTATTCCTACTGCTGTCCCTGGAGCTCGTATCCCCATCTTCTCCCCACTGGTGTTCTTTTCACGCTTAAAACCCTGAAGCAACTAGAATTCCTCAGTATTGCTTTCCCACCATCCCAAACTCACAATATAAGCCTCTTCCCTTCATGCTTTTATTGCAATGTGTACGCAATACATGTCTCTGTCTTAGCACGGGACACAGAATATTGTAATGATTTATCTGTCCGTCTGACTTCTCCACTAGAGTGATAGCGACCCTAAAGAAAGCATCACAGTTCATTCATCTTTTGCAGCTCTAATACCTTGCCTAGGACTTAGGATCACAGAAGCCCCTCACTGAGTGTCTGATGGCTGAACTAATTAGAATGAATCATGGAATCGGAGTTGAGAGAACCCTATACAGCACTTGATTCCACTCCACCTAATCTCCTATTTAGAATAATTCCCCCCAAAATCATCCTACATTCTCTGTCTGAACAAATATCAGAGCCTGAGATACTAGAAAGTACTTATATTAAGCTAAAATTTGCCTTCATCTAATGTCTTCAGTTGCACCACTGGCCTTAAATCTAATCCTACTGTTTGCAATGATGCTTCAAATGTTTATGGGTAAATGTCTACAGAACTGTGTCAGGCCCCTGGAATAAGAGCTCTCACAGTAGCCTCTTCTGCAGAGTGAACCTAGTACAGTTGATTTGCTTGCCCAAGGCCTCCACGGTTAGTTCACAGGGAGCCAGGTCCCTGGCTGGCCCTCCTTCTGACTCAGCTAACTGTTGGAATGGATGCATTTCTCCTCCTCTTTCTTTCCTCTCCCTCTCTCTAAATTAATTCCTGAAGTGTCGTTGACATACTATGTTACGGGTGTCTTTCTTCCTATAGAATCAGCTTGGTGCTTTCATTCTGAGTATGTCCCTAAAGCTATAACACCCTAGTCAATGGAATGCAGCACACTGGTTCTTGCTCGGGATTTGAAACAGATGTGTTTGGTCCCAACACCCACGTTCGCTCCATTACATCAGCTGCCTCTCTAAATGTGGGGATCACTTTACTTCTCTAGGACCCCAGGAGGAGACAATCATATAAGGTGGTGATTCTAGGGTGTGCATCAGCACCTAGAGCATGACTTCCCCTATAGGGAATCTACAGGCTCTTCCCCAGGCAATCAGAGCGAGTTGCTACTGGGAAGCAACCAGCCCTGCAACCCTTTTATTTAACACCTGGAAGAAAAGGGTCTTACCGTTTCATTCAAGAGCTATTTCTCGAGCACTTGTTGTATTACGTTCCTGGTGCTTCCCTGGCCACACGAACCTAGCACAGAGCAAGCAGGTGACCTCCCGAGAGTTGAGCTACCCCGCTCAGGTTCCCAGTCCTAAAAAGCAAAAATGTATCTCCAGTTCCGTGGCAAGAGCTCATCTGCAGAACAAGAATATAGCATCTACTGGGTGACCCACGTGCTTTCAACACTCACTCACTTGAGGAGATAAAACTGTCCCAAAAACACACTAGAGCAACATCTAAAACCACGTGGTTTAGTGCTACCCGTGCATGTACTGACCAGAATGTATGGGAATTAAAAGCGCAGAGGCCCACCGATGCCAGAGGCAGCAGAGGACACTGGTTTTTGAAAATGTTTTCACAGCAGCCACACAACAGCTCACAGTTACTGGGCACCTGCGGTGCGCCAGGAAAGGCTCTACACCACCTGACGCGTGTCCACGCGCTCGATTCTCACCAAACACCACAAGGAAACTACCACCGTTTTGTCCATTTTTATGGTCCGCGGAGGGGTTAACTAACTTGCCCAAGATCACATGGCAGAGCTGGGGGGGCTGGGCTTGAACCCGGGCAACCTGCCAGAGCCTGGTTGCTTAAGCAATGTACCATGTTGCCTCTCGGCATTCTGTCATGTCCTGGGGACAGAAGATGCGCCACCTGGGCCAGGAGGGGACAGGGCCACCTTCCCTGGGGTGGACCCACATCTGACAGGGAGGGAAGGGAGGAGTGTCGCACACCGCCTCGCTGGCCGTGGCCTCTCTTCCGTCGGTGGCTGTCCACTAGCCGCAGGTGAGAGGAAGGTGGCAGCGGGGCTGGGGCCCCGGGTACGCCGGGGCTGGCTCTCACCCCAGGGAAGCATTTGCTGGAGCAACACCTGCTGTGGCCACTGGGGCTCGGCTCCTAGTCCCAGGTCCTCTCTGCCACGGCCGTGGGGCCCTGTGTCTTGTCACCACACCAACCTGAGCTCTGCTTTCGAGTTTATTTAAAAAAGGTGTTTGACAAGGTGATCCCTCCCGGCCCTTGACTCTGCGGCAGCTCCAGAGCTCGCCCAGCACAGGGTTAGAGCAGTGGCCCGCGGTCCCCACGCGCACACCAGGGACAGCTCCGGCCGACTGAGGGGAGCCAACCTGGCTGTAGCAGCCAAGGTCGGGCGGGGCTTTCGCTTGGGCCTGAGCAGCCGAGCTGTGCTTCCCCACACAGGGCACCATGGCCAAGCGCGTTGCGATCGTGGGAGCCGGGGTCAGCGGCCTGGCCTCCATCAGGTGCTGCCTGCAGGAAGGGCTGGAGCCCACCTGCTTCGAGAGGAGCGACGACCTCGGGGGGCTGTGGAGATTCACCGTAAGTAGGGGCCCTGCGGCTCTGCCAAGTGTCTACTGGAAAAGGCTCCATGGGTGGGAAAAGAGGCTGAATTTCTCTCATAGTGCTGCCTGCCCCCGGGGGGAAAGGGTTACAAGCACCCGAGGACCAGGAGCCAGGAGGGCTAAAGACATTGATAAGAGGAAGGAGCTGCGCACAGCCTGAGCTGGGGATGGGGCGGGCATGAGCCATGTGGGGCCCAGAGCAAGAGAGGTGGCCCCAAAGGGTGACACCAAAGGGTGACAGAGAATGGAGTGGCTGGGACAGGCCAAGCAAGCCCAGAACAAGGGAGCAGGAGCAGACCCAGGGGGTCTGAAGCAAGGCCAGGCACCACGGGGTCCGCGGCAAAGGCGGGAACCCAGCAGCGCAGGCATGAGGGCTCTGCCTGGGACTGAGCCGCCGCAGCCGCTTCTGCCCCCGTCCTGCCCCGTCTGAGCTGAAACCACACAGGGCTCGCGCGGGACGAGTTCTAACCCCGTCCCAAACCCAGGCAATCCCGACGTCGGCCAAGAACAATCCAAGTGAAGAATGTGAGTTTGGAGCCTTTGTGTTCCCTGAGCAGAAGAAAGCAGCATCCCCTCGGTCGAACTACAGTCCAACCGGGAGAGGAGAATGGGCGGGAGAAGAGGGGACGAGAAAGCCCAGGCTTCACCAGCCTGCGCTGAAGGGGGTCACGGGGGCGCTGCTGGGGCCACTGAAACCCTAAGTTCCAGGCTGCCCAGGGAAGCTTTCACATCAGAGCTCCCAAGCCCCTCCTTGCCCTCCTTCTCAAGAAAGCAAGAACACTTCCCATGAGACACGTGCAGAAAAGAAAGCTGGCAGGAATAGGGAAAAGGAGCAAGGCGGACATCCAGGCCTCAGAGCCCACAGGGGCTTAGAGAAAGACACGGTGGAAGTTGCAACTGAATAAAATAGTTTCTAACTCAGTGAGCAAAGCTCCCGGAAGCGACTAACTAACTAGATAGGTACGGTTGTCCCAGCATAGGCCAGCGTGGCTCACAGAAAGATCTGTGTATTTTGAAATGTGTCTAACCACCAAATGTGACCATAAATACGCAGAAACCTCCCCAAGGGCACTGGGTGAGAGGGCACATCTGTTCCCATGTTTCAAAGACCATACATTCCATTGGGACAGCAGAAACCAAACACCCATGCTGTCGCCCTCCCCGTCGGTGCCCACTGAAGACGCTGCGCACCCGGCTCGATACACCTGCCCTGAGGAGCCTCAGAGCCCCTCTTAACCCATACTTAAGACAAATAGGACTAATCTGCCAGAGTTGGGATTTGGCTTGCAAGATGAAACTTCCCAGTTAGCAGGGTAACTAGCAGACTTATTTGGCTGAACAGTCAAAGCAAAAGGGAGTCCAGCAACCTGGGGATACTGGACAAAAATGCACCTGCTACAGGTCACGGACACGCAGTTATTAACATGTAAAATCACTGATCTAAGAAGCAAGAGGAACGTGGTCCAGATCCAGCTGTGCCCGCCTCAGGCAGGTCAAATGCCTATGCACAAGCGCCTTAGGGGGCACAAGAAAGAGAGGGAGGCATCCTACGCTTTCTAGAGACATCCCATCCTCCTGCTCCTACCTCAGCCTGCGTGCATGCGCGCGCGCACACACACACACACACACACACAGACACACACACAGGCTCAGTTAGCATTATCTCTGTACTCAAAGCAGATGGCCAAGCTCAAAACCACAGATTCAAGTGTCTGCTCTAGCAAGGGCTGTACTCACCAGAAAGCTCACGGGTGGGTCCACAGTGCCTGTTCTGGGCAGGAGGGGCCATCATGCAAAACCAGACAAGCGATCTGCAGAAACCCAAGAAAACACATATGGAGACCACTTCCGTTTCCAAACAGGAAGGCGCACCAAAGATTACAGAGATTATAAACCACCACACTCAGTTCAGTTCTGTCTCTTGCAGCTGCCACGGCCTGAAGCAAAAAGGAAACAAAGGTTGCAATGCCAAAAAAAAAAAAAAAAAAGGCCATCATTCAGGGGGTGGGAGGGGGCGACAATCTTTAAAAGGAAAGGGGGTATGTTGGTAAAGACCCAACTTCTGTCCACTAACTCAAGTTGGGGCTGGAGGTATGTACGGAAAGTCTAGTTTACAACCGACTTTCTTAGGCTCTTGACGAGTCACCTTAATGTCACCACACACTGATTACCTCAATTATAAAGTAATATTGAAGAAATAAAATGTGAGGAATTGCCCCATCATTCAAAATTAATAATACTCTTGAGATTCTTAGTATAGGAAGGGATCTTGGGGGATGATTTTCCTGTAGAACCCCACTGAGGTCATCTAGAGGGAATTATATGCCACTGGTAGGAACACATTCAGCGTCTCCTCACATCCCTGAAACATAGTCTAGGACCTGATTACCCTCCTTGGAATGATGTTCCTCCTTGATGTGCATCAAGGTCTTTTCCTCTGCACATGCATCCTTTCATTTATTCAACAAACATATATTGAGCCCCAACTGTGTGCCTTATGTACCACATATTTTTACATTCAATGAGGGTAACGAAGGTGTGTAAACTTCACCCCTTCAATCACTGAAGAAGCGTCTCGGTTAATTCTTCTTTAGGCTTAGTAAACCTAATTCTTCCAGTCTTTCTTTAAAAGGCTATTTCTAAGACCTCAATTGTCTTGGTAGGCCTCCTTTCACTCATATATTCAAGAAACATTTATTGAACTGCTATTATGTTTCAAGGGGGGTGCACCTGAGAGGCCCCCATCCTCTTGGGGGTTCCTCACATCACCTCTGAGTATCCACAGCTCTCATGGGCTGTAGATCCAAGAACGGGGCACTGTCCTCCAGCAAGACTCTCTCTGCCTCTCACTGGGGGGAGAAGGAGACAAAGAAAATGGATTCTGGCTGCTCAAAGGAGGGGAAAAGAAGGAAATAATTGTTCTTGGAGAACAAGAGGTGAGAACATCTTGTATGGAGAGAATGTCTCTATTTAGGAGTGACTTCTATTATCATTTTACATTTATCAGTAAATGAGGACGGGGACGGGCACCTGTCGAAGTTGGTTAAGCGTCTGACTCTTGATCTCAGCTCAGGTCGGGTCCTGAGATCGAGTTCCACATCAGGCTCTGAGCTGAGCGTGGGGCCAGCTTGAGATTCTTTCTCTCTCCGCCTCTGCCCCATCCCTCATTCATGCTCTCTTTCTCTCTCGGGGAAAAAAAAAACAATTAATTAATTAGTTAGTTAATAAATTAATTATTTTTTTATTTTTTTTTAAAGATTTTATTTATTTACTTGACAGAGATCACAAGTAGGCAGAGAGGCAGGCAGAGAGAGAAGAGGAAGCAGGCTCCCTGCTGAGCAGAGAGCCCAACGCGGGGCTCGATCCCAGGACACTGGGATCATGACCTGAGCCGAAGGCAGAGGCTTTAACCCACTGAGCCACCCAGGCGCCCCAATAAATTAATAATTTTTTAAATGAGGAATGGGAGACCTCTGACCTGACAAAGCTTTCTTCCCATCACCTAGAATCCTCTCTGAAGGACCCAAAGCTTGAGAAAGTGAATCTCCATAATAATCGTGGAAGAATGATACGAATGACCATTAAGACTTACTGAGAGTCTACCAGACACTGCTGAAAACACGTCACAGCTACCGTTTCAGTTTCTCCTATGGGATATTATTATTCCTATTTATACCTGAAGAAACTGAGACACAGATAGATTAAGAAAATCCCCAAGGTTACCCAACTACAAATGGAGAGCTTGCAGATGAATCCAGGCAGTCTGAATCTGGGCTGTGTGCTCTCAAGAACTATAGGCATTTCCAGAGTCTGGCTCAAGAATGAGGGCAGGCAAATTCTAGACTGTTCATGGAATCCCACCAGGTGTCCTAGTGAATGATGGCAACCTTCCCAGTATATTCCAGGACCAAAATGGACCAGGCAGCCAGAACCCCTCTGTTCATGCTCTTAGCCTCGCCCTCTGCCCACAGACCATCCCTCCTCCACTCCCACTTTGTTTTCCCCGAGTGGCCCCATCAATTCAGGAGGCATGTGTTTGCATCCTTGGAGTACCAGGGCAATTGGCAGACCCACACAGGGACGATGCAGCCAGAGATCCCAGCAAAGCCTGAGAATCACTGGGGCCACAGGCACACACAGGAGGGGAGGGCCCAGGAGCTGCAAACCGTTCAGAAGGGGCACGGACCCATACCCTCTGTATATAAACTGAACACTCCAGACCATGTATTTTTCCAGGAGGAAGAATCGGTGGGAAGAAAGAGAGACGAGAGCAAAGAGGTGGTCTTGGACTCCAGCCCCAGGGCCAAGTTTCCACTCTGCACTATGGTTCTTCCTCAGCTAACATCTGTGATACATTATTCCAAGATAGGCTTCAGTTTTGCCTGGAAGGTTTTCCTTCCTCTTGCCTTTACATCTCCCAGAGTTTTACAAAACAGAGTTGTTATTGGGTTGTGGGGTTTTTTTCCCTTTCTATTTATGTTTCTTTGTTCATCTGTTTTAAGTTCCCATAAATACATGGTTACTGGCTTATCCAACCCCACAAGCCCCATTACTCTTTGCTATTTAAACATGCCATTACAACATACTTGACCCATTTTTATGGAAATCTTTACAATATGTATTATGCACATCTCTACTCCTCTTAAATAGTCTATATTCCAAATTTAGACTTTTATTATTGTTAACTAGACACTGATTGTATTAACTGAGCATGAGTCACTACGTCATGCTCCCAGATGCCAGAGAACAGTAAGGGAGCTGTGGCCTAACTGGCCCAGAATGTTCATGGCTGTTGTTTCTCCTATAGACTATAGGTTCTTCCCCTCCTGCTTCCTCTTGATTCTCCATTTTACAGCTGTTTCTCTCTCTCTTTTAAAAGATTTTATTTATTTATTTGACACAGAGAGAGACAGAGAGAGGGAACACAAGCAGGGGCAGTGGGAGAGGCAGAAGCAGGTTTCCCTCTGAGCAAGGAGCCAGATGTGGGGCTCGATCCTAGGACTCTGGGATCATGACCTGAGCCGAAGGCAGAGGCTTAATGACCAGGCACCCAGGCGCCCTTTTACAGCTGTTTCTATTCCCTTTCTTCCTATAACCCAGAAGGAACTTCACTTTCAACTAAATCAAACCAACCACGAAATTGAGTTCTAATACCCAGCTTCAAGTTTAAAGCTCTGCTACTCACTAAGGCAGCCACTGGCCACATGGAACTATGGGATTGGTTGACATGGCTAAAAATTGAATTTTTTATTTCATTTGATTTTAATTTAATTTTTTTTAAGATTTTATTTACTTGACAGAGAGAAACACAGCAAGAGAGGGAACACAAGCAGAGGGAATGGGAGAAGGAGAAGCAGGCCTCCCGCCAAGCAGGCAGCCTGATTCGGGGCTTGAACCCAGGACCTTGGGATCATGACCTGAGCCAAAGGCAAATGCTTAACAACTGAGCCACCCAGGCACCCCAATTAATTTTAATTTTATTTATTTTTTTTTTAAGATTTTATTTATTTATTTGACAGAGAGAGATCACAAGTAGACAGAGAGGCAGGCAGAGAGAGGGAGGGAAGCAGGCTCCCTGCTGAGCAGAGAGCCCGATGCGGGACTCGATCCCAGGAACCTGAGATCATGACCTGAGCCGAAGGCAGCGGCTTAACCCACTGAGCCACCCAGGCGCCCTAATTTTAATTTTAAAACCAATCCTCAGTTCAGTTACTAGAGCGCTTTTAAGTATATTCATTGACAATTTGGGTATATGAATACCCTTTTTCAATTCACATTTAACATTTGAATTGAGAAGTAAAATATATATACTGGTATTTGAAAAACTTGCTATGCATAAAAGAATAAAATGTACTTCATTAGTAAATTTTTATAGTGATTACATGTTGAAAGTATAAAATTTAGATAGAGTGAATTAAACACAGTATAGGGTTAAAATTAATTTCACCTGGTTCTTTTTTTAATTTTTTAAATTTAAATTTAATTTTTAAATATGACTACCAGAAAATTTTAAAGTGTGTATGTTCCACCACATTCCTGTTGGTAGGACTGTTCTAAAGCCTTGTTACTCAGAGTATGGCCCCCGGCCCAACAGCATCTGCAGGGGAATTTGTTAGAAATACAGAATCTCAGTGCTGTGAATTGTGTAAGCCTTAAGAATCCCAAACCTGTACCCCTGAAACAAATAATACATTATATGTTAATAATAAAAATTATTTTTAAAAATATAAAATATTAATATATATAATATTTTTTAAATATAAAATATTAAAAAAAAGAAATACAGCATCTCAGACCTGAGGCACCCGGGTGGCTCAGTCCTGGTTGAACAACCAACTTCTGGTTTCAGCTCAAGTAAAGATCTCAGAGCGAGGGGTCCGTGCTCAGCACGGAGTCTGCTTCTCCCTCTCCCTCCTCCTCCCACTCTGCACCACCCTCCTCCTGCTCTCACCAGTACACTTGTGCTCTCCCTCTCGCTCTCGCTCTCTCTCTAATAAATAAATCTTAAGGGAAAAAATCTTAAGCCCTCAGGCTCACACAGACCTACTAAATCAGCATCTACATGTTAATAAGATTCCCCAGGTGATTCTTAACAAGGTTAAGGAGCACTAATTAGAGAGCTGTGCTTCTCAAACTGTGGAGAAGAATCAAGTTCATGTTTTGTTTAATTTCCAATCAAGTATATACAATTACATTTGTAAGAAAAGTAAAAAGGAACTATGAAAACAGTGAAAATGAAATGAAGAAAAAGGTCAAAATATAAATTCAAAAGTCGTATAGAGTCAAGAGACATAAAATAAAATTCAGCAAATGTCATTTAATGTACAAATTTTTAAAAATTCCAAAAGGTAGGCCCATTTTTCTTTGGAAGTGTATACGTACGCAATTAATATAGAAAGTCACTATTACACGTGCGGCTTGTAGCCAAATAAAACTTTGTGTGTGGAGTAATCTCCATATGAAACACCTGGAGGCACACTCTCACTATGCGTTGGACATATTAACATTTGAAGTTTTTTTTTAATTATTTTTATTAATGTATAATATATCATTAGCCCCAGGGTACAGGTCTGTGACTCATCAGGCTTACACATTTCACAGCACTCACCATAGCACAGACCCTCCAATATTTAAAGTTTTTAATGTGACCATTAAACTAGCTTCTTGTGTCTAACCTGGACTGGAGGCCAAACCATGCTCTTCTCAAGGGCTACTGTGTATCTAAACTGTTACTAAGTTTTGCCTAAGAGCACACATAAGGAGAGAAACACAGTTCACAAAGGTACATTGATTGGAAAGGAAGAAGAAACTTTAAAGCAATCTCAGGAAGTTCAGGACTTTTTTTTTTTTTTTTTTTTGGAGCGAGAGAGAGAGAGAGAGAGAGAGCGAGCGAGCACGGGCTAGGCGAGGGGCAGAGGCAGAGAGAATCTCAAGCCTCCACACTGAGCCCAGACCCCGACACGGGACTCAATCCCACGACCCTGAGATCATGACCTGAGCTCAAATCAAGAGTCAGCCGCTTAACCGACGGAGCCCCCCAGGTGCCCCCAGGACCTTCTTGTAACTGCCATCCAAAACAAAGCAAGTAGGGCTGTATTTTCAAAAATTATCCTCAACCTTTTATCAGTGGCCAGTTTATTCTCTAAGGTTATAACTAAACATCAGTTGTCTTTCTTTTTTTAAGATTTTATTTGAGACAGAGAGAGTGCACAGATGGGAAACGGGCAGAGGGAGGGGGACAAGCAGACCCCCTGTTGAGCAGTGAGCCCACCCTTGGTCTGGATCCCGGAACCCTGAGATCATTACCTGAGCCCCAGTCAGACACTTAACTGGAGGAGCCACCCAGACGCTCCAATATCAGTTATCCTCCGAAGAAAGAAAATGACAAGTTGTATGGGTTTTTGGATAACAGTTTTCAAACTAACCTTAAAACTTCACTAATATAGTCCCACTGCCCATGACTAGGACACAACTCGACCATCAGAGCCCTCCTCACAGGGCTCAGACAAAACTGAGACTGACCCGAGTCTCATTCAACACATAGGAGTCCACATGCTTGGATACTGAACAGTGGCGAATTATCGCAGTGGAAGTTTCCAAATGCTTACTCTCAATTTCTGTCCTTCTCTTGTCACAGAGTGCTAATGAACAAGTCAGCTCTGTCTTGCGGGGCCAACTACGTCTTTGAGTCACACTGCTTTAGATCTTCCGGCAGAGTAACCGAGCAGGATTTAAATACTCGCCCTGCCCAGAAGCCTTTAGATTCCAGTTTTCTAGATTTATTCTGGATCAAAGAGACTGTCAGAGGGGGAGCCCCAGACAAGCAAGATACAGTGAACTCCTTACTGATGAGCTGACGAGAACAAAACCACAACAATGTAAAACAAAACAAAACAAAACAAACAAACAAAAAAACCCCACAACAATGTGTTTACAATTTTATGGTAATCTGTAATCACTGTAATCACCACACATTTCATGCAGATCTAGATTCACATCCTTTGAGAGAACAAAGTGAGCCCTCCTCCACGTGTGATGTTTATGTTTGCCTTAGGAAAAAAAAACAACTATTTGTAACCAAAATGGTAAATAATATTAAAATACTGAGGACCGCCTCATCATTAAACTCAGAATACCCTTCATAATACATCCCAAAGACAGAGGCCATGTATATTAGCGACCGCATGTACCAAAACTGCTTGTTATTCAACCTGGTGGGAGTTCTCTAAGATCCTGATATTTGCCATTTATTCAGGTCGAAACTGGGGGAGGGAAATGAGTCTTTCACCACCTACACAGTAGCCAGTCTGGACAACTTTGACCTGCTTCTTCTCCCAAGACCTGAATCCAAACAGCTCCCCCATCCTGTGCCTTCTGTCTTTCTGCTGCCTCAGTTTCCACTTCCCTGTTTCAACACCACTGCCTCTGCTTAGGCTGACTTCAGCCATGGCTCGAGTGGGTTTCTGGTTTAGGCTCTTCACCACCTTCCTTCCTTCCTTTCCAGACTTCTGTCATTCATCTTTTGTAGAACAGGAATTATCTTTTCAAAATATAACAGGAATCACTTCCTCATTAAAAATTCAGAAGACTGCCACCACCTTCCAATAAAATCCAAATTCCTTAACTTTAGATGTAAACTCCTTCATGATCTGAACCCCCTTCTGCTTAGTCCTTTCAACAACGCCCATGGAAACCAAACTACCTAGCAACTGTCCATCATGCAGACACAACTTTCTGGTCTATTTCCATATTTTCCGGTATTTTGCAGTAATGCTGTGTGAATCTGGACGGGTGAGTTCCTCCTGGGTTTGTTAACATGTAACGAATGAAATTACAACTCTCGTCATAAAATTCAGTGTTCCGTTTTCACCGTACCTCAAGGGCAGGACAACAAATCCCATTAGAAAGGGTAACCTTAATCTCTGTCAATGTTTAAAATGCCTAAAAATTAACATCCATTCCACATGTGTGCACACATGCACAAATCCATACACACTCGTGTGTACACTGTCTTTGCAGGAACATGTTGAAGAAGGCAGAGCCAGCCTCTATAAGTCTGTGGTTTCCAACAGCTGCAAGGAGATGTCTTGTTACTCAGACTTTCCATTCCCAGAAGATTATCCAAACTATGTGCCAAATTCTCTATTCCTGGAATACCTCAAAATGTATGCAAACCAGTTCAACCTCCTGGAACGCATTCAGTTCAAGGTAAGACACGAAACATCAGTCAGTAGTCAGAAAGTATTGCCTACCTGTTTCCTGTTTCTCTCAATTGCCTTGCCCTTGGCTCTGTAGATGACATCATGAACTGGCAAGATTGAGGACACGGGGCTGGATTCCTCCCCTTGTACTCACACACCCACCCTAAGTAAATCGGAGAATGGAGGTGGGTACTTTCTGTAAGAATTCACATGTATACATTTTTAGTTTGTATTAATTTCATCCGAGAACCCAAAGGGACCTGAAAATATCAAACCACATTCACTGTTTGGGACAAAAGCACATAGGGACATTGATGACTTCTACCAGTCCCTAGGTCCTCTCTTCTTGAGTATCCCTTTATAGGAAAAAAAAAAACATGTGCAGTGGCCCATACACAGAAGAACCTCACTATCTGAAGGAAATCTTCTCTAGACATCCTGGGGAATAGAAAAATCTTTGAATATGGCACTTTTCACAGGACTTATCCACCTCCCTCCCCATTTCCAAGAACAGAAACAGGAAGAAGACAGGACAGAGGCAAATTAATATACTCTCTTTTTTCCCCATTCTTTCCTCCCCAAGAAACAGGACAATCCATGTGTTTTCCTTCTCCTATCTCCCCCTCTCCCTGCTACAGATGGGGATGGTAAGGAATTTCTAGGGAATTGAAAGCAACATGAATGACCAAAATTAGTAGTAAGATTCGTATTCACAACCTTAAAGGTACTGACCAACACGTAACCAGTACCTTGAAGAGATGCCTGCAACCGCATGTTCACTGCAGTATTATTTATAATAGTCAAGACAGGGAAACAGCCCTAGTGTCCATCAATGGGTACATGGATAAAGAAAATGTCCCCCACACATACACACACACTGGAATGTTGTTTAGTCATAAAAGAAGGAGGAAATCCTGCCATTTGCAACAACATGGATGGGCCTTTAGAGTATTGTACTAAGTGAAATGTCAGAAAAATTTTTTTAAAAAAATCACCAAACTCATAGAAACAGAGCAGATTGGTGGTTGCCAGAGGTGAAGAGTGGGGGCTGGGGGACATGGGCCAAGATGGTCAAAAGGTTCTGACTCCCAGTTATGAGATAAATCAGTTCTGGGGATGTAATGTACAGCACGCTCAATACAGTTCATGGTATTATATAATTGAAAGTTGCTAAGAGAGTAAATCTTAAAAGTTCTTTTCACAAGAAAAAGAATTATAACTATGCAAAGTGATGGGTGTGAAATAGACTTACTATTTGTTGCAATTATTTTGCAGTTTATATATTATACATTTATACATTACACATACTATACATTTATCAGATCATTACATCATATACTTTAAACTTACACATTTTGTTTGCCAACTATATTTCAATCAAATTGGGTAAAATGAAAGTATTCCAGTTTTCCAAAGAGTATTTTACTCCACTTCCTTATTTTGCAAGGGATACAGTAAAAATGAAACACTACCATAGTGAATGGATATGATCCTCAGAAATATTTTTAATGCATCAGAGTTCCTGAATCTGATGAATTTCCTTTACTACATGCTGCCCCAAGTCTATTTTAAAATAACTGGAAAAGAAATAATTAAAGCTAGATGTTCACCAAAGTTTTAAGAGGATATACACATAAGAGATTTCTTTCCTGTGCATTCCAAATATTTAATTACAAATAGTTATTTTTTTAAAAGATTTTATTTATTTATTTGATAGAGACCACAAGCAGGCAGAGAGGCAGGAAGAGAGAGAGGAGGAAGCAGGCTCCCTGCTGAGCAGAGAGCCCGATGCGGGGCTTGATCCCAGGACCCTGGGATCATCACCTGAGCCCAAGGCAGAGGCTTAGCCCACTGAGCCACCCAGGCGCCCCTAGTTCTTATTTTTAAGACAAAAGTAAACTCTATTTTGAAATCAATTAATTTTTAATTAACTGAAAACTTAAATTTTAAAAAGGAAGAGTTCCTAATACAAATGTTGGAGTCCAACAAGTGCTTCAAATATTATAAACCAAACAGTGACCCCATTAGGAAAGACGTGAGATGCCTGTCTTCTCTGAAAACTGAAAAAAGGCAGCAAAGTCTCTCGGTCAGTAGAGTATTTATGCTCTTAGATCTGACTTGTACATTTATTTTACATATTTTCTGAATCAGAACCCCGCACCCATAAACATATATATATATATATATACTCGAGTAAAACAAAAAAAATAGACTGACATTTGGACTCCTCCAGAACATTCAGGCCATAAAGTTAGCATTTTCCAATCATTCTCTGGATCTGGGAAAACTTCAGCAACATATTCTATAGGACCTTTCATAAGGTCCAAATTTATGCTTTCAATTTATATTACCCACATCTCTATTAAAGCACAGCTCTGGAGAGATATACATAACAGAAAGAAGACCACAGATCTTGGTTCTATCATTTACTGTGAGAATTTGAGCAAAATCATTCAAACTTTTTGGATCTCATCACTTCTCTTAAATACCCCATCACAACTCTAAGCTTAGAATACTTCCATCCAGAAAACTATGGTTAGTCTGATAACTCGATTCAATTTCTAAGTTTATGCTTATTAATTATGGTTAGTCTGTGCTCTAGAACATTTCAAATGTCAACTGTGGCCAGCAAGCCCTTACCAGAAACTTGACAACAATTAATTGTGACTATGATTCTTTTTTCAGACTAAAGTCTGCAAAGTAACAAAATGCCCAGATTTTATTGTCACTGGCCAATGGGAGGTGGTCACTCAGCATGAAGGAAAACAGCAGTCTGCCATCTTTGATGCTGTCATGGTCTGCACTGGTTTCCTTACTAACCCGTATTTGCCACTGGACTCTTTTCCAGGTACAGCATTTTCTGAAACTGACCCTAATTTGTCTCTTGGGAGCCATCCTGATACTGGCTTAATCTGGGAACACATTTCTATGCTTCCTCCCTTAAACAGTTAAAGTTGTGAGGTAATAAGGATTTTTTCCTAACCAGCACTTTCTGGCCAGCTTTTGGCTTTCATTTGCTCCAAACAACCAATATGTGCCCCAAAAAGAGAATAAATAACTAGCCAGCAGTTTTGTGCCTCACTGAGGTTCAGCGTCTCTCTGTAAGGGATGTGCAACACTCAGAAAGTCTCGTAAGACATGGGATGCCCACACAGATGGTCACAGCCTCAGCAGCAGCAAATAGCCAAAGCTGAGTTAGAGGCCTGGACCACCTCACCCAACAGCATACCTCACGGATCAAGCAAACAGAGCTCTACTGGCAGACCTTCCAACACTGGTCTTTTATTTTTATATTTTTTTTAGATTTTACTTACTTATTTGAGAGAGAGAGCATACGACTGGGGGCGTGGGAGGAGCTGCAGGCAGAGGGAGAAGCAGACTCCTCACAGAGTAGGGAGCCCAGTGCAGGACTCAATCCCCGGACCCTGGGATCATGACCTGAGCCAAAGGCAGACACTTCACCGACTGAGCACCCAGGCGCTTTCTCAATACCAATCTTACCAGCCACTACCAACTGGTCGTTTGAAATCCCTGGCGAGTTCATCGTTAAGGAGCCTTTGAGCTCTAAAGTTCTGTGACTTTAGATTTGAAAAGGAGTCCTCCAGATCTCACCACCTTCCTCTCTGCCTCACAACAGGCTTGCGTAGTACAGAGTACATACACCCTAGGGTCATTGTTGACTGTTAACGAAAATTCAGGTTCATTGAAGACTTTCAAAAACTTGTGTCTGGAAGCACGTTGATCTGGAGGAAATTCCAGAGATGTTCCAAAAAGTCTTAGTAAAAATAACAGATATCATAGAATAAATGAACAACTTCCCAAGATAACCACTTAATTCATTCAGATATATATGTTCTAGTGTGTTCACTAACACAAACACGTTCACCTAATAAAATGCTTATGCTGCCTTACTGTGACAAAAGAGGGAAAAATGTTAGTCTGATAGGAGACTCAGCCACAGGGTCTCATTTTTGCTTATTTGTGATCCAAAGGATCTTGGTCTAGAGAGAATCTAAGATAATTTAACATCCCGGGGTAGAATTATTATCTATGGATATTATGGAAAATAATAAGGATAATAATTCTAGATTCTCCTCAAACTTGTCTAGCTCTCCCTCCTCAGCCATTCCCAGGTCCGTAATGGGTCCTGTCTGAGTTAATATTTGAATTCAGTTGCATCATTGCTAAATTCTAAAGGCTCCGGATTATGGTGAGTTTTAACTGAGACTCACGTAGGATTTCTAATGATTCAAGGTGAGCTAAAGAGTGACCAGATCTTAATGAGGCTACTTGCCACAAGCATCCATATTTATCCCCTGATGTCTTATCACTTTTTCTGGAAAAAATAGGCTCTTTGTATAGAATGTATTACTTTTGATTGATTGTGTTAATGCAACCTTGAGAGTGTTTTCCAAAACTATCCATTCACATTTAATGTTTCAGTGAGAAATTTGGCCTCAGCTGCCTGAGATACCCTTTCTAGTTAGAACAGTAGATCTGACCCCAGTATAACGAACACAATCCCTTTTTCTAAGAGCTAGCTCTTGCTGACTCAGCACACTCAGCTTGAGTTCCAGTCAGTCGCCAAGGTAAACTATCTGTGAACCTCCCCAACCCACAGGGACCTTTTCAAATAAGAACCACATTTTAGGGGCACCTGGGTGGCTCAGTTGGTTAAGTGACTGCCTTTGGCTCAGGTCATGATCCCAGGGTCCTGGGATCGAGCCTAGCATCAGGCTCCCTGCTCAGTGGAGAGCCTGCTTCTCCCTCCCCACTCCCCCTGCTTGTGTTCCCTCTCTCACTCTGTCTCTCTCTGTCAAATAATTAAATAAAGTATTTTTTAAAAATAAATAAATAATAAAAATAACCAAAATAATCCATTAAGAAGATATTAATGGAACAACATTTATGTTTCATTCGCTGATCCTATAAAATTTATTTGACTTTCTTTTTCTATAGGTATAAATACCTTTAAAGGCCAGTACTTTCATAGCCGACAGTATAAACATCCAGATATATTTAAGGACAAGAGAGTCCTTGTGATTGGAATGGGGAATTCGGGCACAGACATTGCTGTGGAGGCCAGCCACCTGGCTAAAAAGGTACCTTTCTTCATGTGACTTAATGAATTTTATCTTAAGATGCATGCCTCGGGATGCATGAATGTGAAAAATGATGAAAGAAATAAATATGCCTAAAGCACACACACATTTAAAAAAAACAGATTTTTTTTCTTTTTTTCTTTTAAGATTTTATTTATTTATTTATCAGAGAGAGAGAGAGGGAGCACAAGCAGGGGAAGCAGCAGGCAGAGGGAGAAGCAGCTCCCTGCTGAGCAGGGAGCCCCATGCAGGACTCGGTCCCAGGACCCCAGGATCATGACCTGAGCTGAAGGCAGATGTTTAACTGACTGAACCACCCAGCCATCCCCAAAAAACAGATTTTTAAACCATTTTTTCTTATGTGTTTATAAATTTTTTACTGCAAATTCCAAGAGTCACTTTTCCTCCAAGACCAACTTCTCTGACTTCCTGTTTTTATCATTTTCCCAGTCATCCAACAAGAGCTACAGGAGACATCTGGGTCTTACCTAGTCCCATCGGTGAGAAAATCCTGTCCTTTTTCCTTTGAAGATTTCCCACCGCTTTTTCCTTCCTTTCTTTGTTAACCTCCACTACCCTCAACAGGTCCATACCATAAGGTCTGTACAATGAATCCATACAATAATCCTCCTAATAATAATTGTAGAAATGATTCATATTTATTGGGGCTTCCTCTGTGCCAAGCACTTCATAATTTAGTGACCTCAACCAGTTGAGGTTGAGGTCACTAAATAAAGGTCATACCTTACTGTATGACCTCAACCAGTCATCAAAAGAAGCCATGGGAGTGGGTCCCGTCAGTACGCTTGACTGTAGGTGAAGAAATTGAGGCTTACAGAAGCTGAGGAGGCTGCCCGACGTTGTACCACTAGCAGATGGCTGGGCCAGCCTTCAAGTTCAAGTCCCTCCGACCCAACGCACCTGTTCCTAATTCTCCCCATATCCCTGCATGCCCACTCCCTCCCCCCACATGCAGCGATCCATCCTTACAGATACCCTAACACCCACTAACAAATCCTCTGAAAAGCCAGCTCTCATTATGACACTCTCATGTTTAAAAACTTCTAATAACTCGCTTAAAAAGAAATGTCAATTATACTCAAGTAAAAACAAAAAAGTGGGAAAGAGAAGCAGAGGAGACAGATCTGAGAAAGCATGGGCCACTTTTTGATCACTTTGCCAAACCAAGGAAGCTAGGAAAGCTCTGCGGGCTCTGTGCTCCTGCCAAAATGTACAGGAAACTCCTACTAAAATAGAACGGAATGGAATGGATAAAATAAAATAAGCAACACAAAAGAAAATATTAATAAGAAATTGCAGGTGAATTAGCCTTGCATTATAGGGTTCTCCTTAATTCGATTCAAATCTGCAATTTCAGCTTTATCCCCCACTACGCTGAGCCCTTTCTGATTCTGCGTCTCTTTTCCCCTTTCCTCGTACCCGACCCCTCTCCTCCTGCAGTGCCTTTTCTCCTTTTTTCACAACCCACAAGAACATGCCCAGCTATCTCACCCCAACACAGTGATCTCTCCCTACTATGAATTTAGGTAATAATTGTAAAGAACACTCCTCAGTTGGCAGGCAGGAACAACAAATAAAGATGAGTTGTTGGCTTCTGATGTGCCAAATGTTGTGCCAGGTACTGGGAATCACTGAAGAACACAACAGAAACAAGATTTCTGCCATCATGGAGCACAGGGTCGTGGGGGACACAGATGCCAACGAAATAAGTATAGATAATTAGATCACTGATTGTAAGAGTTACAATAGCCATGAAGAAAAAGGACTGGGAGTGTGTGACTATAATATTCCTTTTGGGGACTTTCAAAAAAGGAACTGATTGATTGATGGACTTGGGGAGACTAACAGTTTGGAGGAGTTATCCTGAAAGAAGAAAAAGGAGGTCCTGAAATAAAGAACACAGTCTCGCCCACTATGACCACCACATGTGGGCAGCATATTATTGTTTCTATTTCTGTAATGATCAGAAATTTCAAATTCAGTCGGCTGGTAAGCTCAAATAGCAACTCTGCAAAGAAAAAAAAAGAGAGAGAGAACTCGTCAGAACTAATTGGGTTACTGAACTCTGTCAATTCCAACAATGGTTTCTATTGAAACTCTCTGTAGACAACTTTCAAGTGTTGGCATACCCACAAAATTGTAACCACCTGCTCGTTGTTTTTTCACATGAAACTTTCAGCTCCCCTCGCTTGTCACAGTATCTCACTCACTGCGGTGGCTGGCAGATAGTAAGCTCGTTACATGTTCTAAGAAATTTTAATACTCTAGATGCTCAAACCATGATCTCAAAAGAATAACTTGAAGATGGGAGCTGGAGGAGCCAGAAATATGTGGTTGAGGATGTATTTTGAGGGTGGTATTTCTGGTGCCATTCTAATCGTGAAACTTCCTGAATTTCTGGCAAAGCCAACCCTGTTACCTGGCTCAGACTGAGTGGTTTCTTTGATTGTTTCTAGGTGTTCCTCAGCACCACGGGAGGGGCCTGGGTGATGAGCCGAGTCTTTGACTCAGGGTACCCATGGGACATGGTGTTTATGACTCGATTTCAGAACATGCTCAGAAATTCTCTCCCAACTCCAATTGTGACTTGGTTGATGGCAAGAAAGATGAACAGCTGGTTCAATCATGCAAATTACGGCTTAATACCAGAAAACAGGTAAATATAGTGCATCTGCTGAGGGCTGTTGGGCAGAAGGAACCTTGATTCTCCCACTGGCATATCCAAACCAGGTAATTACACACCATGTGACCGAACACGAAAGAAGACATCATACACTTGTACTTCATGAGCCCTAACTGTGTTTTAGTTCTTGGTAAGCGAAACTATAAATTTCATCTTGTCAATAACCCTTTAAAGTATTATTATGGTCTCCTGTTTATCCTGGGTAAACTGAGGCTTCACAAAGTTCAACTACTTGCCCAAGCTCATTTAGTAATAAGCGAACTTTGTGAGCTAGGCAAGTTACATAAGCCTCAGCTACAGCGATCAAAAGAGAGTGACTTGTCTATGACTACTTTGACATAAGCAACACGCTTGCCTTGTTTCACTGTGTGGGAAAAATTAAATGCTCTAGTTGCCACTTGCCATCTCTCCAACAGCAATGCCTTCTTGCCCTTCTCAAGATGACCTTGATCTCAGTCTGTCCTAAATTCAGTCTATAATTGAGTTACCACCTACGACTTACCTCATTAGCAAGAACTGAAGGCTCTACTTTCTCATTCATTAGTTTGTACAATGACATTCTATTACCAGGATGGCACCTTAGCCTGGAGATCCTGTCTGATCTTCCTCCAGACTTCACTCTGGGCCAGCATGGATCACGGGGCACCCAAGCCACCACTGATGGAACAAAGTCCCCTTGTGTGCATACACACACTGTTTCCTCTGGCTCTTTTCATCCTTCTCTCACATATCTTCCTCTCACCCTGCTCTCCTCTTGCCTCTACTGTCACCATCTTTTCCTTCTGTATTTCCTACCTACCCTCTTCCATGTCCTACCTTGAAGCCCCTTGGGGGTTTTCACTCTTGGCACCAGAACTTTGTCTACCATAAGCTTTGTTTAACCTGGATGGCAGCTGGGGGACTATAAACCATAAACCTTAAAAGATGTGAAATGAGCCTAAGGAACTATCATCCCTTCACTCTTGGATTTAGTCATTTATCATTTCCAAACTTCTGACGTACATACTATTTCATGCTGCCATGTTATTTGGCTTGCCATGTTGTTTGGGATATTGGAAATTTTGAGACCAACCCCAACTTCAATCTATTTCATATGCTCTTCATCCTACCCAATGAACTACGGATGCAAGCATCAGTATCCCTATTTTACAGATGAATAAAACCCAATTGGGACCAAATGACTTCCTCAAGCTCTGTTAAGTATAAACATTAGGATAAGAAGCCACCCTTCCTCCTTCCTATTCCAGTGCTCTTTCCATTTTATCCCACTGTCTCTTTCTGTGCCTTCACCATAACCTCAAAATGGCTCAGATCATTTAAAATCATCTCACAAAGTATTTGCTTAGTGAGCCCAAAGACATAGCAGAAAAAGATCATTCTGCCCTTGTTCCTTTTTTTTTTTTAAGATTTTTATTTATTTATTTGACAGACAGAGATCACAAGTAGGCAGAGAGGCAGGTAGAGAGAGAGAGGAGGAAGCAGGCTTCCCGTGGAGCAGAGAGCCCAATGTGGGGCTCGATCCCAGGACCCTGGGATCATGACCTGAGCCAAAGGCAGAGGCTTTACCCCACTGAGCCACCCAGGTGCCCCCCCTTGTTCCTTTTAAACAAATGCCTGCTTTCCTTGTCCCATTGCTCCCAAGGAGGAGAGAGCTCCCAGCAGTTCTCAGCAGATGTAGAAGCTTCCCTTGGAGTCCTTCAGCACTGGGTTATCTCTAAAGACACTGATAACTGAGATCTGAAAGTCAGCAAGGGAAACAGGAGCCAGGGAAAGCTCTGACCCCCTTCTCCATAGGCTCCCAAATACTAGTAAATGGTAAACACATTTCATCATTCTTCGATATTCATGAGTCCTTCCCACAGAAGGGGCTTGTCCCATGGCTGGCACCTCCTGCCTGGCCAAGGGGAGAATCCCAGAATGAAGAAAGGAAGGGAAGGAAGAGGGAGGGCTGGCCACACTGGCCCCTGGCAGATCTCGTCCCTGCCCATGTTTCTGTTTAGGACGCAGCTGAGAGAGCCTGTGCTAAATGACGAGCTTCCGGGCCGGATCATCACTGGGAAAGTACTCATCAAGCCAAGCATAAAGGAGGTGAAGGAAAACTCTGTCATATTCAACAACACCCCCAAGGAAGAGCCTATTGATATCATCGTCTTTGCCACGGGCTACACCTTTGCTTTCCCTTTCCTGGATGAGACCGTAGTCAAAGTTGAAAATGGCCAGGCATCGTTGTACAAGTACATTTTCCCTGTGCACCTGCCACGGCCAACTCTGGCTGTCATCGGCCTCATCAAACCCTTGGGCTCCATTATACCCACAGGAGAAACGCAAGCGCGATGGGCTGTCCGAGTCCTGAAAGGTAAGTTCACGAGAAACTGCAGGGCACACATGGTTTTGGTTTGCCATGTTATTTGGGATATTGGAAATTTTGAGACCATCTCCCACTCCTCAAAACAACACAGTCTTTAAAAGCAGGATCCATTCTATTCTTCATGGAATTACACTATTATAACGAATTTGAGCCATTACCAGCACAAAAGATAAATCAGGGGTCAAAAAATACAAGTTGTATCTACCTGTTATTTTTGCAGAATCAACAGGTTCAATTCGAATGGAAAGTTTCAGTCAGTGGAGGGGCAGAACTCAGTTGTGAGGTTTTGTTTTATCAGTTAACTAGGGAGATGACCCAGATGATACAACTTCTCGGCTGGTAACGTTATTACCAGGGGCATACCTCCAATCCATGTAGGCTGCTACCATTTTTTGCCAGAAGAACAGATAAGTCGCTGGGTACTAAGAGTGAAAGGTGAGCAGTGGTAAAGCATCTCTACCCACTAGGCAAGCAGGCCTAATGTTAAATTGCCTTTTTTGTTCGTACATTTCACAGGTATAAATAAGCTACCACCGCGAAATGTCATGATAGAGGAAGTTAATGAAAGAAAAGAAAAACACAGCGGGTAAGTTAACTAAGTTAAGCACTTATGCATCTTTTTTGAATCATCACTCATATGGGTAAAAACAATGGCAGACAGAGATGAGTTAAAGGAAACAGACTCAGTGGGAAAAAAATCTAGGCTAGCCTGTTTAAGGTGAGGGCAGGAAGGAACTGAGAAGTTGAAGTATCCCCAAATTGTCACTTCAGACGATGGTCACCTAATGCCACCTGGAGTCTGGATTCTTTTTTGTTGTTGTTCTTGTTATGTTACGTTAGTCACCATACAGTATGTCGTTAGTTTTTGATGTAGCGTTCCAAGATTCATTGTTTCATATCACACCCAGGGGTGGAGTCTGGATTCTAAACCAAATATAATTCAGTCTCATCTCCCGGATATGTTATTCATGCCTTATTTATAATCAGGCAGAGCTATGCACATCACTCCGACACCAGAAGAGACTGCTCATTCATTCATTTGACAAATCTTTATCCAGCTCTATTATTTATTCAGACAGCTTCTCTAGAGTAGGACTCTGCTAACTATGGCCTGCAGGCCAAATCAACCAACCACCTGAATTTTTCTTTTATGAATTTTTTCTTAATAATTTTTGAAAGATTTTATTTATTTATTGAAGAGAGAGAGAAAGAATGAACAGGGAGAGAGGCAGAGGAGGAGGGAGAAGCAGACTCCTCACTGAGCAGGGAGCCCGATGCAGGACTCGATCCCGGGACCCTGGGATCATGACCTGAGCTGAAGGCAGGCCCTTAACTGACAGAGCAAACCAGGTGCCCCTCTTTTACATTTTTAGATGGATGGACAGAAGAAGAATATTCTGTGATATGTGAAAATTATAGGAAATCTAAATCACAGTGGCCATAAACTTTTATGAGAACATAGCCACACTCATGGTTGCTTTTGAGTTACAATAGCAGAGCTGAGTAGTTGAGACAGAGACCATAATATGGCCATCAAAGCCTAACGCACTTAACATCTGGCCTTTTGCCAGAATAAGTTTGTTGACTCTGTTCCCTGGAGAAGAGGCTTCCTCTTATGCTCTGCTGTCTGGCTGGTACAACATCAAAAACTAATGACATACTGTATGGTGACTAACATAACATAACCAAAAAAAAAAAAGTTTTAAAATGATTGCATTTAAGAATTGTTAGCACTTTTCTAATTTATACATGTTTGCAAACTTCATGCTGATCTATCCTGGACAAAGTGTTAAATCCCGAAATAATAAACACATTTTAGATGTCTCTTTTTCACCCTCAACCTGGAGTAAAAATCGATCTCCATTATAGAATTCTGCTGTAACACAGATAATTAATTAGAACTGCACAGTGGAAAGGCTTCTTGTCATAGGTCAATCAGTGATTTCAGGGACTAGACCAGCAGTACAGGGGATTCCACCCTATTGATTTTTGTGGACTTTTCCATTTTACAAATCTAACAATAATTGAGTTTTAGAAAAATTTAGGAATAGTGAAGTTATGTAAAAACTTTTTTTCTAGAAATTACTAATTATTTGACAAAAGAACTAAAGAATACCAGCCGCCTTCGTGAGCATTTGGAGCACCGCGCACATACAGTGTCTTGTCAAGGGGCTCATCTAGCTGTTAAATATACATACATAATGAGACCATTACACAGCTGTGGGCTTGGAGGGAAGGACACACAAACCGTTTCAAATTTTCTGGTGTCGCTGTTTACTTTTGGCACTTTTACTTATTCTGGATTATCATTATTTTACCTTTTTGTCTTCTTTATCCCCAATTTTCCTTTCCTAAAGGTTTGGCTTGTGTTACTGCAAAGCTTTACAGTCAGATTATATCACATACGTAGATGAACTCCTGACCAGTATCAATGCAAAACCCAACCTATTCTCTCTGCTCCTGACGGACCCACGCCTGGCTTTGACCATCTTCTTTGGCCCATGCACACCGTACCAGTTCCGCCTGACTGGCCCAGGGAAATGGAAAGGAGCCAGAAATGCCATCTTGACCCAATGGGATCGAACATTCAAAGTCACCAAAACTCGAATCGTACAAGAATCCCCATCTCCCTTTGCAAGCTTACTTAAACTCTTAAGCCTTCTGGCTTTGCTTCTGGCCATTTTCCTAATTTTCCTGTAAAACAAAAAATATCGCCCAGGTGGTTTGTCAGACGCACCTCGTAGATTTACAGAGCTCTGGTCCTTCCACTATCATGTCATTCTCTTCACCTGAGCCCTGAGCCTTACCGGAGTGGTGATGGCCGTGGCCCGTCCTTCCCTGGCTGCCACTGGTACTGCCGGGCTTCTCCTGCTGCCCCGGCTTCCGGTGCTAGAGGAAGATAAGCAGTCATGATGTCTGTGTACTTGAAGGCTGCTGGGAAGTTCCATGCCCCCTTTACGAGAGAGCTGTTTAAGACAGCACTCAGCATTCCTATCTCTCTCTCACATAAACCATTTTCTTAGGCCTCAACTAAGCCCCCTGCTTCACAAAAGATTTGGTTGTACTAAAATGATCCTGTTATGGTATCAACCTCAGACATAAAAAGAAAGGAAAAAACCTAGAAATTCAATGTTTCAAGTGGTCTTTTATGCTCTTTTTCCAAGTTGGGGAAAAGATGTGGGGAAAGAGAGAAGGGGACGAGGTGTCCACTCCTAAAAGCCATCAAAGAACTGAGGGTTCAATAAATTCCCTGGAACCTGTCTAAAGGAATGTAGGGACCGCAGAGAAAGACAAAGACCATATGATTCACTTATACCTAGAACCTAAAAAACAAAATAACAAACAAAACACCAACAAAGAAGCAAAATCCAGAAATAGGCTCATAAATACAGGGAACTAGTGATTACCAGACAGGGAGGGCGGAAGAATGGGCAAAATGGGAGAAAGGATTACGAGGTTCAGAGTTCTGGCTATGAAATAAGTAGGTCACAGGGACAAAAAGTACAGGGTGGGGAATAGAGTCAATAATTTTATAACTTTGTATGCTGACAGATGTAACTACACCTATGGTAAGCATTTTGCAATATATATATATATATATAATCATCATTGAATCACTATATTGAAAAAAATTATCTTAATAAAAATAAAGGGATGATCCTGCCTGGGAGTGCTCATTGCCCTAGAATTCAGTCTACAACAAAATGGGGTGCTCCAGCAGGCATAACAACAACCCAAATCAGATCTACCCCACAGAAAATCAACCATCACCACTAGTTCATTGAGCCGGGCTCCACAAGATGAAATTTCCATAAAAACCCAAAAGCAAGGGGTTCAGAAAGCTTCCAGATTGGTGAACACATAGAAGTTCGGGGAGACTCATGCCCCTAGAGAAGACATGGAGGCTCTCCCCCGCCGTTCCCATGTATCTTGCCCTATGCATGTCTTCCACCTTGTTTTTCCTGGGTTATATCCTTTCATAATCCTTTCCTGGGTTACATCCAGCAAATAAAATGTTTCTCCAAGTTCTGTGACCCACTCTAGCAAATTAATCAAACCCAAGGAGGGGTCAATGGAATCTCCAATCTATAGCCGGTCCTCGGAAGCACAGATGACAATCTGGGCTGAAGTGAGAGCGGAGGCCATCCTGAAGGACTGAGCCCTTCACCTGTGGAGACTTTATGAGGATTGTAAGAGAATATTATGAACAACTTTATGCCAATAAATTCGACCTGACCAAATAGACACAAAGAACCAAATCTCCCTCCAGAAGAGAGAGAACTTTAGTTGCCCTATATTTGCAGTTAAAATTCTCTTTGAGCACCTCTCTCAAGGAATAACAATTCCATTCATCCACAGTTTTGCTCTGAAACACAAAAGAGCTCACCTTGATCCTTTGACCTCTCCTCCCCCTCTGTCATCTAACAGTCCTCAATCCATCTGTCCTGTCAGTGTGTCTCTCTTGCAGAGCAGGGATCTGCTGGAACTGTCTGTGAAAGCCCAGGCCCCAGAGTCAGCCTGCCAGGCTTGAATTCCACTTCATGGTTTTTAGTTCGATGAAATCCCACTTGTCTATTTTTGTTTTTGTTGTCTGTGACTTTGGTGTTCTATCCAAGAGATCATGGACAAGACCAAAAATATCCAAAAGTCTCCAGTGAATCTCCTTGTGTCTCAAATCCTCACGGCCTGAATTGCATCAGAGGCAATCATTTCCGGGGGGGATGGGATTCCCCTTTGACTAAAGACCCACACCTGGAGCAGGGGGGGAGCACAGCCTTCCCAGGCTCAGAGCTGCAGGGAGGAATGGAGGAATGAAGGGATCTCTGACCAACATCTCTCCTTTCACCATTATTTTTCTCCTAATACTCAGTGATTTCACAATCAAGTATACAATCCTTCCCCATCATGTCCTCTCAGTTCCTTAACCCGGTTACCTCTAACGACCTTACCTTTCAGCCGTCTCAACCACTCACCACTATGTTCACCCTCTAGACCAATGATGTCCAAGAGAACTTCCCACCACCACAGAAATGTTTCATCTTTACTCTCCGACGAGATAGCCACCAGCCTCGTGTGGCTACTAAGCACTTGAAATGTGGCTAGTGCTAATGGAGAAATGCATTTTTAATTTTATTTAATGTTAACTAATTTAAACCTCAACTTAAATAGCTCCATATGTCTAGTGGCTATTGTATTAGCCAGTGCAGGTCTTGACCTTGTCACTCTCGGCAAGAGCAGCTCTCCACAGGCTGATTCGCAAACATTCCTTTCTCCACTAATTATGCCATTGTCCTCCAGCTAAGTTCTTCTCATTCAACATTCTAACATTCTCTTCTAACCGCTGGGACTTCCAACCCAAACACTCGGCCATCTTCTACTTCGCACCTCCCCTCAGTTTCTCATTTCCCTCATTAGCCAGCTTAGACTTCATGATTCGGTAATATCACACTTGCATGGGTGCTCAACTCAGCCCTCTAACTGATCACTCTCCGATTCATGGCAAAACTACTACCTCCAGATTCTGCTCGACTGCCCTAATCCCATCCCTCCCCAGTCTGATCGCCTAGGTGAGACCATTTTGTATCATCGCCTCTTCCCACATCCTCTGCCACTTCCTTCTCAGCTCACTCTCAGATGAGAAATAGTGACAATGAGCAGAGAACATCACCAGGTTCCCACCACCGCACTTCCCAGTCCACCTGGGGCTGTGCCCATACGCCCTTTCCTATTACTAAGGGTGACTACCTATGCTCTGCAGGGCGATTCCTGCTAGCGTTCTGGATTCCAACCCTTCACACTTACCCAAGGACATCTCTCCTACAATTTGTCCAATTACTCTCCCAAGTTGTTGATCATTCCCTTTCTCCTGGACCATTCCCCACCATTATATGGCATAATATTCCTGTTTTCTGAAAAACCCTCCCTGACCACACATTCCCTTCAGCAAATGCTTTTATGTATCAGAGTAGCATGATCTAATTGATGATTTTAAAAGATCATTCTGGAAAGCAGATTATAGGGGAGCAAATGAAAGTAAGGAAGCTAATTAAAAGGCTATTTCAGAAGAACAGTTCCAGCAGCAGCAAACTAGATAATAAGGACCCATCCTAAACTGGGCCCTTGGAGGCTGGAAGACTGTGACAGCATAAGCCAAACTAAAAAGACTTTGCAGCTAAATGCAATTTGTAAATTTGGATTGGCTACTTAATCAGGAAAAATATAACTATAAAGAGGGGTGTGTGGTTCAAAATATACAAATCAATTAATATGACCCACCACATTAACGAAACGAAAGATAAATGTCATATAATCATCTCAATAGATGCAGAAAAAGCATTTGACAGAATTCAACACACTTTCACGATTAAAACTCTCAGCAAAGTAGGTACAAAAGCTATTTGTCTTAACATAATGAAGGTCATAGATGACAAGCCTATAGCTGATATCTTACCCAACGGTGAAAAACTGAAAACTTTTCCTTTAAGAACAGGAACAAGGCAAGGATGTTCCCTCTTGCCCCTTACAGTCAACAGTACTAGAAGTCCTAACCAGAGCAATTAGGCAACAAAAAGAAATAAGAAGCACCCAAACTGGAAAGTAAGAAGTAAAATTACCTGTTTGCAAATGACATGATCTTACAGATAGAAAACCCTAAAGACTCCAAAAAACAAACAAACAAACAAACAAACCTGCTAGAACTAATAAACAAAACCACAGTGATTAAAACAAATAGCACTGGCGTCAAGAAAGATGTAGACCGGGGCGCCTGGCGGCTCAGTGGGTGAAGCCGCTGCCTTCAGCTCAGGTCATGATCTCAGGGTCCTGGGATCGAGCCCCGCATCAGGGCTTGTGACCTCTCTCTTGTGACCTCTTGTGACCTCTCTCTTTAAAAAAAAAAAGAAAAGAAAAAAGAAAGAAAGAAAGAAAAAGAAAGATGTAGACCAACAGAACAGAATTGTGAGCCCAGAAATTAATCTTCAACAAGCCTTCCAAGAACACATAATGCGGAAAGGGCAGTCTCTTCAACAAATGATGCTGGGAAAACTGGATATCCACTTGCAAAGGAATGAAATCAGAACCTTATATCACACCACATACATACAAAATCAACTTAAAATGGGTTAAAGACTTAAACATAAGACCAAAAATATAACACTCCTAAAAGATAAACTGGGGAAAAAAACCTCTTGACAGTGGTCTTGGCAATGATCTCTTGGATATAACACCAAGGGCACAGATAGCAAAACCAAAACAGACAGGTGGGACTTCATCAAACTAAAAACCTTCTTCACAGCAAACAAAACAATTAACAGAATGAAAAGACAGCCTACAGAATGGGAAAAATATTTGAAAACCATACATCCAATAAGGGGTTAATATCTAATATCCAAAATATGTAAGAGACTTCTACAACTTAATAGCCAAAAACAAAAAATACAACCAAAAAAGAACCTGATTAAAAAATGAGCAAAGTTCTTGAACGGATATTTCTCTTAAAAAGACATGCAAATGGCCAACAGTTATATAAAAAGGTGCTCAACATCACTGATCATCAGGGAAATGCAAATCAAGACCATAGTGAAATATCACTGTCAGGATGGCTATTATTAAAAACACAATAAAAGTAGCAAGAAATGCTGAGGATGTGGAGAAACTAGACCACTTGTACACTGTTGGTGGAAATGTAACATGGGGCAGCTGCTAGAGAAAGTGGTATGGAGGTTCCTCAAAAAAGTTCAAATTAGAGCTACCCAGGGATCCGGCATAGATCCACCCAGTAGCCCTGAAATCAGGATTTGACAGATAAGGAGATGAAGAAAGCATGCTACACAATACACTATTCAATACAACAGAGTATCATTCAGCATTGAAAAGAGAAAGAGAAACAGAAACAAAGACAGTCCTGCAATACATGACAACCACTGATGATGCACCTGGAGACGACATCATGCTCAGTGACATAAGCCAGTCACAAAAAGACAAAGCCTGGGTGGCTTAGTGGGTTAAGTGTCCAACTCTTTACCTCAGCTCAGGTCTTGATCTCAGAATCATGAGTTCAAGCCCTGCTTTGGGCCTCATGCTGGACGTG